GCCACAAGACGCGCCTTATACCTCTCCACATTACCATTTGCATCCCGCTTGGTTTTAAAAATCCATTTACAACCAATTGGTTTTGCACCTTCTGGCAATGGGACAAGTTCCCAAACCTTATTGTCTTGCATAGACTTGTACTCTTCATTCATGGCATCAATCCACTGTTGAGAGTTAGAACTTTTCATGGCCTGAGAGAAGTTGATTGGATCATCTTCTAACATTCCACTACTTTCCTCATGTTCTTGGAGAAATACAATATAATCATCCGGAATAGCATTTCTCCTTTCTCTCGTGGATCTCCTTAATGGCACTGGTTCTTGAGGTTGTTGAGTTTGTTCTTCTGGAACAGGGAGTTGTTCAACATTATCATCTTGAGGTTCCGGATTTACTTCTTGAGCAACAACAGGTATAGGAACCTGAATATTGTCAAAAGTAACTGTATGGATTGGATCTGAAGCCAATTCCTCCTCAAAACTAATGTCTCTAACCTTATTTCTCCCCCCAAACTCAACATCCTCAAAGAATGTTGCTGTTCCCGTCTCAAAAATGTTCCTTATAGTGGGATCATAAAACTTAAAGCCCCTAGAGCGTTCAGAGTATCCAATAAAGTAGCTGCTAACTGTTTTGGAGTCCAATTTCTTTTCATTTGGCCTATAAGGCCTTGCCTCAGCTGGACATCCCCAAATATGTAAATGCTTTAAACTGGGCTTTCGACCAGTCCAAAGCTCATAAGGTGTTTTAGCAACTGCTTTACTTGGTACTCTATTCAGAATGTAAGCTGCTGTCTTAAGTGCTTCTCCCCAGAGTGACTCTGGTAAAGAAGAATGAGCAATCATACTTCTTACCATATCCTTAAGAGTCCTGTTTCGTCTTTCAGCTACACCATTCATGCTAGGTGAACCCGGCATGGTGTACTGTGGGACGATACCGTATTCCTCTAGGTATCTAGCAAATGGTCCTGGACGTTGTTCACCTGAACCATCATATCTACCGTAGTACTCACCACCACGATCAGATCTGACGGTTTTAATTCTTCTGTTGAGTTGATTCTCAACTTCAGCTTTATAGGCTTTGAACATGTCCAGAGACTCAGATTTTTCATGAATAAGATATAGGTGCCCATAACGTGAGTAATCGTCTATGAATGATATAAAATATTGTTGACCATTCCAGGATTCCGTAGGGAATGGCCCACAAATATCCGTATGTATCAATTCTAAGACATCCGAAGATCTGTTGGCACCTAATCTTTTCACTTTGGTCTGTTTTCCCTTGATACATTCAACACATACGTCGAAGTCCGAAAAATCAAGGGAATCCAAAATGCCATCAGACACAAGACGCTCAATTCTACCTTTTGAGATATGACCTAAGCGCTTATGCCATAATGTCGCCGAATTTTCCTTATTTAATTTACGCTTAGTACCACGTGATTCCACATGCAAGGATTCATTGTAAGAAGCAATTGTATCAAGCAAATATAGGTTGTCATAAATACTCAAGTAACCGGTTCCCACAACATTTGAATTAAAAGATAAACTGAATTGACTGTTTCCAAATGAACAAGAATAACCTGATTTGTCCAATACAGAAACAGAAACCAAATTCCGTCTAAAAGACGGTACTACAAAAGTATCTTTTAAATCCAAATAATAACCAGTTCCTAACAACAACCTAAAGTGCCCAATTGCTTCCACATCTACCGATTGTCCGTCGCCCACAAAGATGTGTCTTTCAACATCACTTGGCTTTCGGTAGCTCAGGCAACCCTGCATAGAAACACTTATGTGAGTAGTAGCACCAGAGTCTAACCACCAAGTGTTTCTAGGTACTGAAGCTAAATTAACCTCAGAACAGACCAAAGCAAGGAACGTACCCTTATTATCACGCCAGGCGTGATATTTTGTACAGTCCTTCTTTACATGTCCAGGCTTCTTACAGAAGAAACAACCCTGATTATCCTTATGTTGTTTCTTCTCAACTGGACCCTTAGCAGCTTCCTTATCATTCTTCCTTTTCTTGCCCTTATCCTTAGAGGCATAGGCCAAATGAGCACTTTCTGTCTTATCTTGCTTCAACCTGTCTTCTTCTTGCACACAGTATGAAATGAGCTCATTTAGAGTCCATTTCTCCTTTTGACAGTTATAACTGACCTTAAATTGGTTAAACTGTGCAGGAAGAGACAACAAAACCAGATGCACTAATAACTCGTCACAAAGATCGAGTTTAAGTGCCTTAAGCTTTGAAGCAATATGAGACATTTCCATAATGTACTCCCTGATATTTCCTTTGCCCTTATACTTCATTGAAATCAAGCGAGCTAAAAGCGTGCTTGTTTCTACCTTATCGTTTTTCGCAAAACGCTTCTCAATTTCGGCAAGGAAATCTTTAGCCTTAGTAATCCCTTCGGATTCTATGCCCCTGAAGGCTTCCGGAACGCCGCGCTTAATGATCATAAGACTCATGCGATTTGAACGCTCCCACTTCTCATGCTCCTTCTTTGCATCAGGAGTGCTATCCGCATTGAGAGGTTGGGGTTGTTCAGTTCTTAATGCATAGTCAAGATCCATGCAGCCAAGAACAATTAATATGTTCTCTTTCCAAACCTTGAAGTTTGTCCCATTTAGCATGGGAATTGAGTTGATGTTAGCAGAAATTGTTGCAGCAGATGCATTAGCTGAAATAAAACAAAAGAATGCTCACATCAATAACCATAATCAATAAAATTCAAATAATGACAATCCCCATCCAAGATACCGGCACAACATTAATATCAAGTCTTTGGACAGTAATATTAACTTGTAAGTGATACCTTGTTGCAATGATCAAACATTGACAATAACTCATGTCAAATAATGAAACTATCTTTGGATCGATTCATTATTCACATGTAAACCTTATAATTGTCACACGCTTATCATCGCAGATGTGTATACAGTCTAAATAAATATTAACCTTCCTTTGGGCCGATTAAATATTTACACGAAAGCATACACACAAACATCTCACATTCCTCATGAACAATCTACACAAGAGAGGTTACTTTGGCAACTTCTTGTTTCAATTAATCAATTGGAGTGAGAGACAACCTTAATACCTTAGTGTCATAATATTTGAATTAAATAATTGATTAAAAACCGAATTAGATTTAAATTAAAAAATTTAAATCAACTGAATTTCCAAAAACTTAATTGGGGTCTCACAGCTTAATTAGGGCCCATAACTTAATTGAATAAATTAAGTATACCAAAGTGGACCCATGAAAAGCCGAGGCTTAACCATAATGAACACGAAGTTCCCTTAACTTCGAACGCGAGGTTCGACTGTATTGAGTACGAGACTCACTTAAGTACGAACGCGAGGTTCGTTTGAGAACGAACGCGAGGTCCGTTAAAAAAAAAAGATGAACGCGAGGTTCGACTGAAGCACGAACGCGAGGTTCGACTGAAGCACGAACGCGAGGTTCGTCTGAAGCACGAACGCGAGGTTCGTCTGAAGCACGAACGCGAGGTTCATTAAAAATTGAGCTTGACGCTCACCTGAGTTGAACGCGAGGTTCGCCTTAGAACGAACGCGAGGTTCGTTAAAATTGAGCTTGACGCTCACCTGAGTTGAACGCGAGGTTCACCTTAGAACGAACGCGAGGTTCGTTAAAATTGAGCTTGACGCTCACCTGAGTTGAACGCGAGGTTCACCTTAGAACGAACGCGAGGTTCGTTGAGCGCGAAGCTCGGTTAAAATTGAACGAACGCGAGGTTCGTTTTTAATGTTCGCCACGTTTCACGCACGCACGAACCCTTAGGGTTTCAAATTGAAACCGCCGCCGACAAACCCAAAAATCTTTGATTTTTATTTTCAAAACAGATCCAGAATTGGAAAAAATTAAAGAAAAAATTCCAAAAAGTTACTGTTCATCCGGAAAAAGCTTTACTGTTCATCCAAAAAATTTTCGCTACTGTTCATCCGAACATTACTGTTCATCCGAGAACAAAACTGAATCTTTAACCAGATATTTAAGATCAAAAAACCCAATAAAACTTAAATCCCTAAGAATTAATCAAGGTGGCTCTGATACCACTTGTTAGATCTAAACCAAAACTTGAGATCTAAAACCATATAGCCATGATTAATTCAAAGAGATTAACAATAATCAAAAGAGCGGAAGCTTATACCTGAATCCATGGATGAACCTTGAGATGGGTTTTGGATCTTCTAACCTTAGGGTTTCTCTAAATCCGAATTTCTCTAGCTAGATGGGGGTGTAGAGAATTAGAGAATGTAACCCTAGGTTAGGGACCATAACCCCTTATTTATAGATGTTGTACTTTTGTAATTTAGCCCCTCAATAAATCACAATTACAACCTGGTATCTGCACATATAACCTCATGATTATATTTAAATACCCATTAACCCAACTTAATTGATCACTTTAGTGGGTTATCCTGAAAGATAGCAATACACATTGATTAATCATATGTGCCCACAAATAGATTTATTAGATTAAATCCAACAATCTCCCACTTGGGCACCATATGATTCCTTAAATTGTGTATAACCTTATGAGCTCAAAAATTGCTATCACTGAAAAGGTATTTCCAAACATTATCTACTTGAACTAAAAACATTGATAATTAGCACTAATGATGAGAGGTTGAAATGACTCCCTACTAAAAAGGTCGGGGTTCCGAACCCGACAAATTTTGTCGTGGCTTTAAACCCCGACTAATTTGCCGCCTAACCATATTCTCCGCTTGCATATTAGTGCCCACTGCTGTTAAAACTCAACTAATTAGTCGGGGTTGCTAGGGTTAGCAACCCGACTAATTAGGACCGTGATTTTTTTCAAACATCCCTGTTACTGGTCACGAATCTGACGTGGCCAGAAACTGCGTTGATTTCTATAATAAACTTGAGATAGAACCGGTTTTTGGGATTAAATTTGTGAACGAGTTTATCTCAAAATTTTCTCATTCTGCAGTTTATCTCTATTACCCTCGTATTATTACACCAACCAATAACCTAGAATGAACAAACCCCCCGGCGCTTCTTTTTGGCCCAAAAGCTATACCCTGCTGTCCAGCCACGGCTACAACTCAGGACTCTTCCCATCCCCATCCGTGGAAACCATTTCCTCCTTCAAAAATTTCAGTCCCTACCCAAAAAAATCATTTAAAAAAAATAAATATTCAAATTCCCGTTGTATCATATTTTTTCTCCTCAATCATGGGATCTCTCACCTTCTCTCAAAGCTCTCTCTGCGGCAGTAGTCAAGGGAGCCCAAGATCTCCGATTCTGAAATGGCCAAACTTGCCATCAGGTATTAGTTCTTTTTCTAGTTTTCTGTTTTTTATTGGTTCGGTTACTTATTATGACAATTTTCTGTTGAATTTGACCCAAATATCACAAAAATGCACCCCCCCCCCCCCCCCCCCCCCCAACCCCCCCCCCCCCCATGTGGAAGTAGCCTGCGCGAAATAGGGCTGGACAGCATCACAAATCCATTTGGTACCTTAACTCAATTTAGAAACTGTAATTTAACTCATGCAGAAAAGACACCTTTTGTTGATTTATTATTTTTTTCAAACACCATTATGAGATTTGGGTTGTTCTCTATGATTTACAGTGCCCCAGAAGACCAGGGATTTTGCGGCTTTTTGTAAGCAGCTGAAGGAAGATAAGCTGTGCACTCTTACTTACTTATGCCACAAATGTCTTCTGAATAGGTAACTTGTACGGGCATAATTTTCAAATTAATTTGGTGGGTGGGGCATGGTATCTCTATATGCCCTAAAAGTCTTAGGGATCTTTTAAAAACCATCTGATGTTTTAGAGTGGTCATACCCAATGCCTTGTACAGCCCTCCATTTAGTTCACTTTATTTTCATTGAAGAAGATCTACATGATGATTACAACCAAGGTGAATGTAGTGCTCTATGTCTTTAGTTACCTTGTAAATTATTTTTTTAAAACAAGAAATGTGAAAAAACATAAGTAAAATTACTTTTTAAAATGTGAGTGAATCACATTGTTTTCAACTGCATATTGCTCTCTTATAAGCAATACAAGTTGGTCAAGTAGGTGTCAGTTTAATTTTTTAAGTGTAGAAATCAATTAGGCAAGGGTAATAATTTTCAAATTTGTAGCATAGAGAAGATGTATGGATGCAAGTATGAGTTACGAAATGGCATCATTAGTTGGAAACAACAATTTGAAATCTGGTCACTTAGGGTGCATCTTGTTTGTACTTTCTTCTTATGAGTTAGTTAGAGATAGAGAGAGAGGTGAGCTACGAAAGAAATTACTTGGGAAGCATGGGATAAGGTAGGTTTCAGCAATATCTATATACACTTGAATATTAACTTCTTTTTTTATTTATAAAACTAGCTCGTGGCATCAGAGACTCCATGCTCAGTAGCATCATGGATTTGGATTGATTCCAAAGAGAAGAAACACCCTATTCATGTCGTTCAGTTCACTTTCATCGGAGAGGATCGATGTTCTAAACATCGGATATCAGAGTTATGTTGGATTAAAAAATCCCATAAGATGTGGGGGATAGTAAGTAAATATCATGCATGTCGTAGATAACTTAAATAAAATTTAAACATACAAAAGTGTTAAATCATCTAAATACGACATGTTTAGGGGGAAAGAACTTGAGGGTGATACAACGGAGATGAGTTGAGAGAGTGGCAAAGAGATCTAGGAAGGGAGAGGCTTACCACTTACTGAGTGCAACATGAAGTGAAAAGTGTAGTGACAAGAAGTCGAGAGACTCTCGACTCGAGAAAGGTGAGAAGGAATGAGGCTTAATTGAGCTCTAATTTCTAATTTGAGATTTGTATAAAGCTGGTTTAGGCTTGGGATTATTGGTCAACTGAGTCATAAACTCAAACCTGACTTATAACAAATGTTAAGCTAGAACTACATGTGAAGCTATTTTTATAGATTATTTTGATGACAAAATATCACACCTAATATTAGGAAATTCAAATGTTATCTTGATATATCAGAGAACAGCCTAAGATATTACAATAATTTCCTAAGACGAACTATGTGTAAAACCTTACTTGTTGCGACAAGTCATGCAAATCGGTATTTGGCTGACATGCTGCATTTTTGAATGCTGGAGAGTGTGCAGATGATGTTGATGATGGCAAAGCTGATTTTATGATGACTATCAATCCATTCCTTCATGTAGAATTTTCAGATGTCTTTATTCCCCTTTTTCAAAGCATATTTAATTAAAAGCTGCTTTCTATAAATGAAATTACTTATCCGGCGCGTACAATTATACAGCAGGCTTCGACACTTTATAACCTTAATATATAAGGAATGCATGTGTTAGTACAAACACAAGTTACATCATGTCTATAATTGGAATGTGGACATAACAGTTGAAAATCCTGTCATGAGAACACATCTTACATATTTATGTATGAGTGAAGCATTGATAGGGGAAGGATGTATATAAACTTAAAATAAACAAATGGGTGGTATAGGATTAGGTTTACAATGATATCTGTACCGGACTGAAAATTTTGTAAACTTGCTTAAGATTTTTAGTGTGTTTTTAGTCTGTCAATTTGTGAATGTTTCTCTTTTATTAGTTCTTTAATAGCCCATTTTGGTAAATATGATGACGTGCAATTTGGATCCAATTTCTAGATATGATGGTAACAATTAAGGTAAAAACTAGAACGATTTTCATGACTTAGCAACGGCTTTAAATTAATACTTTTGATTACTGTAATTCCTATATGACCTTTTAAACGAATCTTTAAAAATTTGATTATATATGCTAATTAGTTTTTAATAAAACATTCTTAAAGTTGAATTGCATAATATATTACTGTTTTCAGTCTATATGCTGATATTGAAGAGTTTTAGTTGACTTCTGTTTTTTATTTGATAGTAATTAATATTTTACCTTAAATCTCAAAAGTCAGTATAACTACATGGTATATATACTCATTTTAGACAGTGGTGGATCCAGGATTTCCTGGAAATCGTGTCAATACATAATTAAAAATTAAAAATTATAATTGAATTCTAAGTTCCTTAACTTTTCTCTATCCTTTGGGACTGATTGTAGACTTCCAGAAGAAAATCTATGTCCACCCCTCATCTTCAAGAGAATTTCATAACCTTGTAGACTTGAAGATTTCTTTCATGGTCATGAACTTAGTAATTCCTAGCTTTTCTTACTGCAACTTGTCTTCTAGTGTTTCTAGGCAATCCTCTTTTGTCCCTAATTTCCTTGGTCAAGATTTTGGCACATTATGGAGGGTGAAGAGCTGGTGGTATCTTCATGGAATTGCTTCATACTTGATGTTAAATTACACTATGAGTTCCTCTTTGTCTCCCTTGAAAGTAGTTATGTGTATTAGCCGTGCTAGTAGAATATTAGCTATGATCTCTTTTGAATACAAATGACTTTGCTGCATTAGGTTGACACACTTATAACTGAGTGCGGTTATAAATTACTACTTATTTAATAAAAGGGATATTGTTTATAGCCAACTGATTGTAAGAAGTTGTGCGTTGTGGTCTCTTCAAAAATGTCGAACAACTTAAAACATCTTGGACCTAAAAAAAAGATGTTTGAACTCTCTTAACACTACTTTGTACGTTATTCTCCTTTTTTTTCCTTCCCATTTTGCCCTCTGTCCTTATCTTCCCCTTTTTAACCATACTTCTTCTCTTTCATCTTCTTCTTTGTACTCAGATCAAAATGACCATGATAAAAAGAGATTGAAATCATAAAATTCTAAAACAAAGCATGGACGGCGATATTTCATTCCAGAACTTCTTCCAATTATGAGCCGAACTCTCTCAAAAAACTCTATTGAATATCCTTGGTATAGTGAAATTGAGTTCGCACAAATTGCAAGCAGGCCATGTTTTTAAAATTATCAGGACAAAGGACGGAAGCTCTTAGTTTTACCAATAGAAACAATGGCTCATTTTCATTTTTACAACACTTTGTATACATATCAATTGAAAAAGCGACAAAACTATTACGTACAAAAGTCCTCTCTTCATCAATTAATCAATGAACCCACCTACAAATACCGAGCAATAAAACAAGTCCAAGAAAACACATCTCTGTGAGGCAATTAATCAAACAGATTCCAAGCATCCCACCTTTCACCAATCTCCAAATCATAATAGTTCAAGGTAAATTATTCTTTATCACTCTAATAAAATACCCTTCTAGCATCATCATCAACAAGCCCAAAGGTAACGAGAATTTGGATCAGAGAATCGAAACTTAAGCATCCAAATATCAAAGTAGAACAAACAATGAGACAACTAACCTTCAACAATTAAAGCAAATTTCCCACAGAATTTAAACAAAATGTTTTAGCTAAACGGAGGAAATCAATATTTGTTTGGATTTTCAAATTGACTAAAATCATGTGAAGAAGAAGATAAAAGAGAAGAAGGGATCAGAGGAAGGAAAGATGAGGACAAAGGGCACAATGGGCAAAATGGGAAGAAGAAAAGAAGAATAAGGTGTAAAGTGGTGTTTAGGAGGTACAATCATATATTTTTAGGTCCAAGGTGTTTTAAGCTGTCGACTCTTTCTAAAGGGGCACAATGCATAACCTCTTATAATCAGCTGGCTACAATTAATTTCCCTTTTAATAATCGGTTTAATTTGTTACTTATATTACATATTGCATTTGTAATTGACTGATGTAGCAAAATTTCATTCCTCGTCTACAAGAAGATTATCTTATGCTGAAAGAAAGGGTTACTTTGGTGAAGTCAGTTCTCTTTGGGGTTCAAGTTTCTTGGACTAGTGTTTCTTTTGCCTGAATATGTCCTAAAACCCATTAATGCTGATTGTAGAAAATATATTTGGGGAGGTATAATTAGACCAAGATAAAAAAATGGCTTTGGTTTCTCTAGTGATATGTCTAAATCAAAGTGTTTAGGAGGTTTGGGCTTATTTCATGCTGAAGGGTGTAACATGGCTTCTTTAGTTAAGAGTTGTTTATGATATCAATTGTAAGAAAGATATTTTGTGTATTAAATGGGTTCATAAAACCTATTTAAAGCATTATGATATATGGCAATTACAAGCTACAGTGGGTGATTCTTGGTCATGGAAGAGGCTCGTTAACGTAAATGGATTTTATTTTGCAATTTTGGGTAGATAGCTCTGTTTGTCGTCAAAGATTTGTTGTCAAAGAATTACCAGTTGCTTGGTAGGTGCAAAAGTCAAAATTTCTATTGTTTATTACCTTGTGTATGATGATCAAAATTTTGGTCATGGTGGACTGTGGTGTAAAATCCTTTGACTATACCAAAGCCTGCATGATTGAATGGTTTGTGCTGAGATCAAGATTGTTAACTGGAAATAGGTTGGTGAAGATGGGGATTTCTTTTCAAAACTTGTGGTCCTTTGTGTTACCAATGTCCTGAAAATATTGAGCGTTTTTTCTTTAAATGTGTGTTTATTACCATAGTGTGGAAGAGTATTGTGCTATAGAATGAAATTTAGAACTTACCTCAAAGCTGGTTGTAGATTTTGCAAGTATGTATTGCTCATCCTAGAGGAAGAATGGTGGGAAGAAGATTTTCAAGGCAAGTTTAAGTGCCTATATATATCATGTGTGGATAGATAGAAACTCTAGATTGTTTGTAAAGAAGAGAGCTTCTATGAATTTGATTGTGAAGAAGATTAAGATGGATGTTTTGACTGTGGTACATTCTTGCATCCCAGCTCATAGTGTGAGGTACTTGCTATGAGGGTTCTTTGTAGAGGGATTTGATATTAACGCAGGTATGTCGGGTCTGTCTGTACTCCAATTCCTTGGTAATGAAAGTTCAATTCACTTACAAAAAATTGGCTGATATGTGTTTCAATAACTAGTATATCTTTGATTTATATAAAATTCGTTAGAAGAAAATATTCCTTTATAGAATGCAGAAGAAGCATTGCAAATCGGTAAATCATGGTTGTATGTGAATCAAATTTACTAGTAAAATATTCTCTTGAGTATATTGTTGCTCTTTTATTGCTCTACTTACTATGTTAGCTTAATTAGCTTTTTTTTTTTTGTATATACGCTAGCAATAGAGAATCAATATTTGTTGCTATGAAAACTAACTATGTTTTTTGGGAAAGCTATAAGTAAATATTCTGGATATTAAGTGGCTACAATAATTGGTCAATCATTATACTTACAAGGTTTGAACATAGTCCGCTAGGTTTCCTTTCATCAAATCACATCACCACTAATGTGCACGCTTTTTTGTATCCAAAAGTTTAAAATTGAGACTTTGCCGTCCAAGAAGATAAGTGGTTCTTTTATAATTAAGAGAAAGAAAAATAGCGGAGAAGTATATTTCTTCACTAAGGTAAATACAATCGTCCTAATACTTGTGCTTTATCAATTTTTTTACTTATAGTTCATTAATCACATTTGTTATTGGCCATAATCACATAAATATTCTCTAATAAGTGCAGAACTTATAGACAAGTTATTTTTATAGAATAGGATGGTAAATATTTGTATGTAGATGTCTAATTTTTCGTGTTTAATAGTGTTTCTAATTTCGGAAAAGAAAAAGTTGTTTAACTAATTAATTTGTTTTCATGGGCATATAGTGTTATCTTTCCTAATGTTGCTTGTTGGATTTATTTTTTACTAGGTATTTAATATTTGCCTCTAGGATCACGAACAACTTCACTCTTTGGTCCAGGAGTCATACAACCATCAAACAAATTGGGTGATGTTGAAGAAGGTTCAAAGTTTGGTTCATCTTTTCGTCGAGAATCTAGGATTGCTTACCTCAAAGTGAATCTCATCTCTTGTTTTCTTGATCAACAAATAGCTGTTTTAAATTTTATCATTTTGTCATGTGTTTTTGACATGTGATTTATATACATGTGATTTATATAAGAGTTATGTTATGAGCGACAATCATAAGGGTTGGGATTGTGTATTTGGAGAAGATGAGAAACTCCCCTAATGATATATGATTGGAGATGCTAGCTACACACAGAAATGCTTCCACGAAATTACATAGGACTGGAGCACATGGGATTTGCAACTCCTCTCTTCAAATGAGAAGATCCACATGACTCTGGTAATTTTTAGGTTAAATATGCTTTTATCATTTCAATATATTTGTCTTTATATATTTTGGTAATCTTTCCTTAGAAAAATGCTAGTGCTAACCAAGCAACGAAAGAGCTCAACCATCACTCAGGATCCCCGTCCTTTGCTCAAATTGAGCACAAGCATTTGAAAGTTCAGATATAAAATATTAAAGTTATGCATTTCATTAGGTAGTCTCTTGTCGAAATTAAACTAAAAATTTTAGAATTATAGGGTAAATCACTATATGTTCAGGAACTCATGAAGGATGCATATTGGTCTTTTAGTCATAATTACGATAAACAATAGACAATCAAAATGTGAAAATGCAGGTAAACACACTTTTAATAATTCAAATTGTAAATGAAGTTGCTTCAGATCTAATCATCTAATCTAGCCTTAATTTTATTCCTTTCATGTTGGCATATTCAGGAGTATGTGCATGAGAAGTTTTCCAACACTCTGCAATAGTCTCAAGGTGAGGACGAGACTCATCCTCTCATTATACTCTATCATCGAGCAAAATTGTTGAGCTCTTGAGGTGTTGTTTGGACCGCTTTAGAAGGAGCAGCACAAGGTTAAGGGGACTGGAGATAGACGGTTTATTAGTAATTGTACGTTCTCAACATCCTTTTATACTTAGCTTTTATCATCTCTGCTAAATCCTAATGTTTACTGTAAACTATTTAGATTAAACTATTTAGATTACAAAGGCCGACAACCATGCCGGTGACAATCATAACCATTACCGCACGAGAGCAGAGACCTCATTAGTTACTTGGTTATAAGAGGGATAGTATCCAATAAATTTATTAAAGTCTTGCCTTGAACTTTCTCGACATGAGCATAGCCCAATTCTTACTCTAACCAGATCATTATGTTATTTCATAATTCTCACTTTATCATGGAATATTTCCTTGTATCTCGAAAAATGGTTGTTTGCAAGCATTGTTTTAAAAAGCAGTCTGGGCGCCTGCTTAGACGGCTGCTTAAACCTAAGCAGTAACTAGGCCACCCCTCTTAAGTCTTGTGAGCGCCTAGGGGAGAACAGGTTGCTTTCGCAAACTGTACGCTCTTAGAAAGAGGTATATTGCTTGCTTACGCATAGTAATGATTGAAGAAAGTTAGCTAAGTTAAAATGTACTGGAGATCAAAACTCTATGTCCAAGTTTATCTTGAGCAAAACAGTAAGGATATGATTTGAATCTTCGAAAATGATCCTTCCTCTCCCGATGTTAAAAACGTCTATGTGCCGCTTAAGCATTCAACTAAGCACGTGGTGCTAGGACTAGCGCCTAGAAGTTCCTAGCGCTTTCTAAAACATTGGTTACAGGTGACAATAAAATTTCATTAACTTGAATAACAAGAGTAGTTTTTGGATTAATATTTGTTTATTTAAACAGTTTTTGTTTGCACCAATTGTAGGCAGCTTTTAGACCTATTGCAATTTGACATGAAAGACTTTTGAATAATTTCTCATGCTCTAGTGAGTTTTAATGAGTATATTTATCAATATCCACTCCTAGTAATGGAACCCATATCCCCTATACGGAAAACCATCTCCTCTCCAATGCTCAAATTCAAGCCCCCCATTTGAGTCGAATTAGTAGACTCTCCCCTACATTCAAACCTACCCTTGCAAAAGAACTGCACGAACTTGGTTACTGGGTGCTTTTTCATAAGTAGTCCAAAGGTAATCGTTCCTTTGTTAACCACATAAGTAGTCCAAACATAATCGTTCCTTTGGTAACCTAGAATGTTCTTTTCTCCATGCATCGTGTTGCACACATGTCCGAGTAATGATGACTATCTTGTCAACTATCCTAGACTAAAACCTCAAAAGGTGTACCAATTAAAGATTGTTTACCTTGAATTTTAAGAAAAAAGTACAATTGATGGTCTAAAGAAGAATAATTTTTGGATTAGTGTACTTATCATATTATTTTTGGTTTCTACTGATATGAGAGTATAAAGCTCTTAGCCCATGAGTTGTATTATTGACAAGATTTATTATATAGTTACTGACGTAAATAAGTTTTAATGAGCATACTTATCAATATTCACTCATCTAAAGAGAATAAAACAAGCCTCTCTTTTCTCTAGCCTGAAAAAGATCCCCTCTCTGAGTGTTCAAATTGAGCATCATGTTTCCTATATTCTTTCCAAGAGCCTAAAAAATGTTCTTCGTCCTATCTCACATTTTGAGATACTATCTATATTTTACGAGTTTCCAAACATAACCGTCTACTTGTGGAACCTGTGCTGATCTTTTCTGTCATCTTGCACAGATGTTAGAATTATGATGTCTAATTCACTTTCCGATACAAAATAAATCAAAATGTGCGCCAACATTTTCTGTTAATTTAATGCATTAATAAGTTTTGGCTATAGTCTTTAAAAAAAACCCATCCTTTTTTTGGTCCAGAAAACATTTTCTGTCCATTGTTCCTTAGATTCAACCCTCTTTGGACACCAACAATAGTGGTTTTCTAGCATCTTTCATCTGTCAGAGTAATTAGACTTGTTTTTTCATTTTTGCAAATTAAGATTATACGCAGACATGTCTAATATTTCGTGAAGAATATTAATGACTATCAATTAACATTTTCATTGAGACATGTTTTATTGTGGTTATAGTCTTAGCTTCTTTTATTTCAATATTGTTAATACTTTTCCAAACCCACCCCTGTGAAAGAACCCGTCCAAGCTTGGTTATTTGTGCTTTTGCACGAGTCCACAAATTTAACTGTCTTTTATGAATCTCACAATGCTACTCTTTGCATCGTGTCCTTCACATGTCAAGACAATGCTATCTGTCTTGTGAGGTTTTAAATATCATTTATCCAAAAAATATTTGACGGCCAAAATTCATATTGGTTACCAGTTATCGGGGATATATCAAGGATAAGCTATAAAAATCAAAGTGTCATATCAGATAATGAGCATATATAATATAATGTCCTAAAATGTAATCCAAGCTCATTTAATAAAATATCCAGAGTGTTTCTGAGGGAGGTCGTCAAAAAAATTTGTAAGCGATTTGGGGGAGAGGAACAATGGAGGTGCGAGGAATTAAGGTTACACGATGAGCGGATGTGAAATAGAATGAGATAGCATGGTTTTTGTTTAGCGGATGGGGGTCGGGTATTAGAAAAAAGAGGGTTTTTGCCTCCAAACCCGAACAAGTTCACTTAGAATATAAATTGTAGAAAATCGGGCGATTTAACCCACAAGAATTTGGCCGTTTTATTGGATTTACACTGACATTTCGAGACAAATCAGCTAAAAACGATATGCAATAAGTTTTTGCGGAAACCATAACAGCCATGGCCTAACTCCTATATATCGTTGATAAATCGATAATATATATCGTTGATAAATCGATAATATCGGCCTACTTTAAAACACTGCTGTCTTGTCACTTTCCCAAATTAAAACCTCAAAAGAGGTGCAAATAAAAATTTTAGTTACATTGAATATTAAGGAGCAATTTTGGAGTAGTGTGCCAATTTAGAGAACTCTTGTTTGCATTGATTCCAAAGCAGACGGCTCTTTGCACCACCAACTATATGATGTATAAGATTCATTGAATATTTTCTCATGCATTAATGATTTTCTGTAAGCATACTTGTTTAATATTTTCTCCCCTCTATAAAAATAGTAAGTAATAAAACAAGCCTTTTGGATATGTAAGGTTTACTGGATAGTGCATTAATGAATTTTAATGAGCATACTTGCCAATATTCACTCCCTTCTGTTAAAATAAGCAAATAAAACAACCCTTTTTCCTTTCCTCAAAACCATCCTCTCTATAGCGTTCAAATTCAACTCGCCTTGTTTTTTAAGACAAATCCATGGACGTTACTTTCAAAACGAGCTTCGGAGATGTGGAAGCTATTTCCTTCCCCAAAATTTCAATGCCTTTCCAACCCTTCAAATTACGTGCCTCGCCTGGTTACATTGTTTTCTTTCATGAGTCTCCAAATGTAACCGCCCCCTTCTGAACCTTGCCATGCCTTTTTTGCGTGTCGTGTTGTGCACGTGTCAGGTTACTGACCATTGTCTTGTCACTTTCCTAAACTAAAACCTCAAAAGAGGTGCCGATTTAATTCCGTTTACCCCAAGTTAGATATTGCTTGGACCACCAGTGCAACAGGTAAAGATTCATTGGATTTTCTGATGCATTAATGAGTTTTAATAAGCATATTTGTCAATGTTCCACTCCTCCTTAAAAAAATAAAACCCTTTCTCTCTGGCCCAAAAGCCATCTGCTCTCCGGCCAGTGCTCAAATTCTATGCACTCATATACCTTTCTCAAACTTGAAAACCATTCCTTCTCCAAAAATTTCAATTCCTCTCCATTGCTTTAAAATTCCCCGTGCCCACATCAAAACCCCGTACAAGATTATACAAAAAAAAAACCATCCTTTCTCTTAATCTCCTGATCTTTGACCTTTTCGCTCTGCTTGAAATTGAAGCTCTCTCCGGATCTCTAGCAATGGCTCGTGTTGAGAAATCTAGTGCTGAGAACACTGCTGCTGAGATCAACCAGAGAGAAGGGAGCAGTAACCAGAATTCTGCTATTGAGGTCAACCCGAGAGAAGAGAACAGTAGTCAAAACCCTCTTCTTTTCCTCAAGAAGAAGGGGACCAACAATCCCATAGTTCATGTCAAGGGAGCGCGGATCTATGATTCTGAAAATGGAAAGACTTGCCATCAGGTACCCTTTTTTTTAACTTTCATTTCTTCATCGTTCAGTTTTACTTATTAGCGAGATCTCTACAAGAAGAAGCACGTTGCAATTTTACAAAATTTGTTGGATTTTTTGTGTTCATACCTGTTGACTACTAAAAATTTGCTGAGAAAAACATGACCGGTGTCACAAAATGCCATCTTTTCCTTGTGAGGTCGCCCAAGGTCTCGACATCTGACACAGTATACATTTTCTCGGATTTTTCCCATTCAGGAAAAAAAAATTCTCTTTTTATTATTCAATTTATTAGATTTCGGTTGTTACCTATGATTTACAGTGTCGGCAGAAGACGAGGGATTTTGCAGCTTTCTGTAAGCAGCTAAAAAAAGGCAAGCTGTGCACTCTTACCTACTGCCACAAATGTCTTCTGAATAGGTAATTTCTTGTCAATTTCTTTTCTTCTTCTCCTTTTTTCTTTGATGGATTCAATTTGATTGTTTTGGTTGTTTAGATATGGCGAAAATGCAGATGAAGTGGGGAAGGTAGAGAACTGGGTTTGCCCCAAATGTCGCGGTGTTTGTAATTGCAGTTTTTGCATGTAATGCTCTCTAAAATGTTGTGTGAATTAATATTGGAAAGTTTGGTTATTTATTTTTTGTATTGATTTGTAATTTTGGTTTCTCAGGAAACGGAAAGGGTTCCAGCCAACTGGAATACTAACTCATGTTGCCAAATCAAATGGGTTCAATTCAGTCCATGAACTCTTGGATAACAAAGGTGCGAAAAAGTTGGAACCCCAGAGCATAGAATCAAAAGCTTCTTTTTATAACAAGGTACAACTTTTTTTCCATGAGTTTATGTTAAAATTTCAGTCATTTGAATTTGATGATTAATATGAATGAAGAAGGATATGGTTATCTTAATACTCATTACTTTCTGTACTTGGTTTCTTGAAGGGCTCTTCGTCTTCCAAAAGAAGTCTAGACAAGGAGAGCCAGTCTCTTGAGAATGAAGCAGGATCAAATGAAGAGGGACTGGCAAAAAGATTGAAGTTGGGGACATCTGGCATCAGTAAAGAACATGGCAATCAAAATCATGGAAATGCTGGGTCCAATCCTTTGGAAGACATTATACTTCCGCAAGGCAGTCCATTAACAGAAGTTGCTGGCACTGAATTGCCAGCTCAGGATGTTGGAGCTGCCTTGCAGTTCTTGGAGTTTTGCAATGCATTCTCTGAGGTATAATCCTTCATGATTTGGGTTAGTTTTAGAGGCTCTCCCAGGTTGTTTTTATCTGATGTGCATTTACATATCAGACTATGCTTACATCTAAATTCTTTGACTTGACTAATTTAATTGAACTAGGTCATGATTATTGCTTCTTTTGGAATGCTCATGGCTTTTAGCTAGACTGACTAAGTTAATATCCCACCGTTGCTTAAAAACAGAAAAAGAATTAATGTTACTGAAGCACTAAACTTTGGGAACAAGGTTTTAGAGTTTGTATATTTGTTAAAATTGGTCAATTTACTTGTGAATTACTCTATTTTACTTCTGAATCTACCTACTGCAGTTTCTTGCTTGGTCACCCTTTTAGTTTATCAACGTTTCCCAAGAGCCTATTTGATACAATATTTTTACCTGTTATAGTTTTATTATGCCTTTATACCTCGAAGCTTGTTTACTGATGAATCTCTTTCTCTTTAGGTCCTTGATATAAGGGAAGGGCAGCCTGAGTGCGTCCTCCGAGATTTAACGAGAGGGTGTCTTGAACGTCATGGAGTGTATTCGGCACATGTTGAATTTACTATCAAATTGTTGTCGCTTATCAGAGTGGACATGAAAAAAGAGTATATCTCCTTGCATTCTGTTCTCACTGAATGTTGATATCATTTTCTATCTGTTGAACGCTTAATCTTTTCTCTTAAAAATTTCCTGACTGATCTAACACATAATATCACCAAACAGCGGGGATGCATGGTTGCAAGCCCTTAAAAGATGCATAGAGGAATCTAAGTGCACCTTGGAGGGATTGCCTCTGGACCTTCTAGACAATGGTTCAGATGGATATGATAATCTCAAACCGTCTATAAAATTGAAGATATTAAACTTCCTTTGTGATGAGGTTCTTTACACAGGGTAAGTGATATGTGTTAGTTTACACTTAACCATATCATAATTCTCTGCACATAAATCCTCATGATGAGCTTTTTTTCTCAGAGAGCTAAGGAGTTGGATAGATAAAGCGGCTGTAAATTTTGATGAAGGAAGGAAGGAGAACAAAAAAAAGTTACTTGCTGCCAAGAAAAAGGTTTCTGGTTGTGGAAACTGGTTACAAGTTTTTGTTTGCTTTATATTACTTTAATTTTCTAACACATGATCTTTTGCAGGAAAAAGTTTTAAAACAGCAGGTTAAGGATGAGACTGCCGAAGCTATGCTTTTAGCCAGAGAGGGAACTCCACACTCTCTACCTGAGTTTGATGGGTTTCTTTCTCAATTACGGGCTGACGCAGATGAAGTGCATGCTGAAGTTCTTGCATATGTTGAACTTATATCTAAGAGTATGTTGCCAAAATTAAATGCTTCTTCCTATTTTAGTTAGTTGAGTGAACTACTTTTCTTTTAGTTCTAACTATGACTATGTTAGTCTATTGTTCATCTATCATTTGGTTCCTTTGGTTCTAGCAATAACATTGTACTATTCATTTAACAATCTAATTTTGTTGGACCTGGTGCTAGTCAGCTAACGTACTAATAATCTAAAAGCTTCTTCTAGAAGGTTTAGTTAGATCGGGCTCGGAGATTAGCACTCTACATGGTTGTTTTTTTCATTTAATGTGCTTAGATGAGTGAGTGGTTACCTCAATCCAAAACTTGTACCTGGTAATTTTTGGTAATCGATGGGAGTTTGAAGATCAAGTGAACTATAGCTACTGCCTTGTGAGCTATGATGCTTGTAACTGTGACATTTTTATTTTAAAATTGAAGAGTTTATGCCCGATAGCGGAAAGCATATGACACTTTAGGCAAAATGGACTCAAAAGCAAACAAGCCAGAACATTCAAGATCAACTATATGGAGACATACATGTATAGGCATTTGCATAATGTATATAAGGCAAGCGATTGTACAAGCATGCATCTGCATACATGCATGCATGTAAAATACAAGTATGCATGTATTTATTATACTTTTAAACATTGATAATTCAAGTTTAATATAATGTAAGATGGGAAATTAGTGGAATGTCAACAAAGCTGGCCGGGACTGGGAATACATGGTGGCGTAGCTAGTGGCAGAGCGGGCTTGAATTTGGAAGTTGGACATCATAGGCATCGAATTAAATAGGAGAAGGTGATAGTGGAGTTGATGGAGAAGCAATGTCGGAACAACATTGGCAAGAAGCGGTGATGCGGTATAGGAGTGGCAACATTGGTATGGGCACTGAATTTGAAAGATGGAGGATCAAACGTTCATATGTGAGTTCGTTGGCATCAAATTGCTAGAGTTGAGTGACGACAAAGGTGAGGTTGATAAAGGTTGTTGGAAGTGATATTTGGAATTTGGATTATGAATAGACAATGAGGTGGAGATTTGTGAAGAAGAAGAAATTCATCAAGGGGTTTATGAAAAACAAAAGAAAGATAAAATTTGTGGGCCTTACACTCACGTAATTATTATGGTAAAATTGCAATACCCAGGCAATTCTTATGATAGAATGACAACTCATATCCAGAGGTTTCTTAATGCAATACTAGTTTTTGGGGGCAATACTTATGGAAAAATGGCAATTTATATGCGGAGGATTTCTTAGTGCAATACTAGTTCATAATCTCCCCCACATCTTAAAAAAAGAATTTTACATGTTTATTTATATTGATTTGCACGTGCAAATAAAAGGGAGGAAAATAAAATCAAATAAAAATCCCAACTGAAAAGGATGAAGATAAAATGATAACTATAGGAAAAAGATAAAATTGAATATAATCCTAACTAATTGGAAGAAGATTGAATCAAATAAAGCTCCTGGTTAATTTATCCAATTCTCATGTAATCCTGTTAGAGCTGCAAACATACCAGGATTTAAAAACTTGAAAGGAAGAGAGAACACCAGATAAAAATTGTTGCAAGCAATAAACTAGGATTTTATTTCATCAAAAACTTATCTCTATCATCCAAAAAAAGTCTTTTATAGGCTCAACAATAAAAAAGGTTAAACTAATAATTTTTTACCAAAAGTTGAAAATAGTCTGGAAGCTTTGCCATAATTTTGAAGTTCAAACTAATAGAATTCCCAAATTTCATGAATTTCAACAATCCCATTGACCCTCGCGATTTTGCAAGAACTTCAATTTGATTGATAACTTGTGCGATTCGGGCAAGTTTGAAGTTTTGTAGCATTTGGCCCTTATAGAGTCGAAATGGCTGTATAGGCTAGGGTTGTCTACAAGAATGCATCAAGTTTTCAAAGTTGTTTTATTTTATTCCATTTTTGTATTATTCCATCTATCTCATAAATAATAAAACCTAATGGTAAACATTAAATGGAATTTGCAATGGCATACTACGAAATAAGCGGAAACTATTGCAACTCTTACAAAGTTTCAGATGTATATAGTTATATCCGACATTTCATGGGGGGCGAATAAGCATTATAAATAACATCATGTCTTGCATAATGCTTAAAACTGAAATAAACCTCGCAAATCTGTTAGTCAACAATTTGTGATCCCTTATTATTAAAGTTGACATAAATGGCGAACTAATTTGTATATTGAGGAAATACATAATCTTTCCTAAATTTCCGATCATGTAGAAAAATAAAATAGAAGTAGAAGCAATGAATAAAGTTATTATTAGCTACTACTTATCATGATTCCTCTTTCTTCGCACTCATTTTGAATAAGAAATTACTCGTGCACTATGAATGGAATTAAACATTAAGAATGATATATGACAACAAAATTACACAATTGCAAATTCAAAGCATCAGTTTTGAATTTCCTGTCCTAACATTAAGTAGTTAAACACCATATTTATTAATTAATTAATATTTTGATAATTGGAGTTATTAATTGCTCTTGTATAAAAGAAAAGAAGTTACTATAAGTAGTAATATAGTATTTATAAAGCATAAGCAATGTCTACAATCTCCTTGTTAGGTCATGTTTTCTTGACAAATGCAGGTAGATTATTGAGATGGAAACTCTCATTATTGTCAAAATGCATAGCACCAAGTGAGGGATGATATCTCTGACACGTGTGATCCAAGATGCAAGGCTACGCATAAGGCAAGGTTGGGCATGTCAAGTGCACAACACAAAGTCGGACGCAAATCTCCGAAGATGCCTGAGGCATAAGCAAGACACAGGCCTCAGTAAACTGAGTCATTCTATCGCAAAATTTAAAAATAATAAAACTTAAGCTTATATCACTACTGATATCGTGGTCGAAAGAATTAATGAACTTGAACTATCTACACATTGAATTTTCATTTTTATGACAATGAGCAACAACATTAGAATAAGAACAAGGGAAACTAGATGAAGAAGAAGAGAAATCATAAAGGAAAGAAAGGGCGATGAATGAAGGTGAGAGAAGAGGAGAAATGAGAAAGGGGAAGAGAAGAATTAAGTGAGGAGGAAAAGAAGAAGGAAGATTATTTATAATAGGAATGTCTTAAATAATTATAAGTGGTTGTTAAATCATCAAACATTGATATCATCGTTGGAGATCGTCGATTTGTGTTGCTAGATTGGAATATATGTACGTAGTGCATTATTAACTTAAGAAAGGACCATACATGGAGGACCACTATTGATTGATTGAAACAAGCTTTCGTGAAACGTAAAATAGGAGCCCAGCACAATTTTGAGGTCCCAACCCTAAAGTTGAAAAAGAGAGCTTAAGGAAGAAGGTTCCACTAACTCAATATCACGCTTAGTTTTAACTCAGATTTAGATATTTAAACTTTATACAAAATTTTACCAACCAAGAAAAACTATACTTTTCCATGAAATAACTTGCAAATATCTTATTTGGTAAATAAATTCTTCATGAAATTAACGTATAGAAGGATAAACTCTCTTATTTCGTGTTTTCCACTCTCCTAATATACCTTAGATGTTCAAACTGATCCACATCAGATCCTTTATTTTCTTAATGATGATGTTATATTTTTACCAAACTCAATCAGTCACCACTATGATAATACCTGGCCACATTTTAGACATCTTGAAAATGAGAAGAATGAGAAGTATGGTTAGAGATTAGAGATGTAATTTATCGCATAGGTGGTGTACTGATAGATATTCAATAATATCTTACGCTTTCAAAATCTTTGGGATCTTTTGAAATCCATCTAAGGTCTTAAAGGATTCTATTTTAGTCTCATGGATTTGGTCAAGCCAATGTGGTGTACACCATGCGTATAGTAAGAAGATCTAGATGAAGATGATGACAATAAAGATGATTGAGAGACTACCGGTACATCTCTTTGTGTAGCACTTTAATGTCCTTATCTTAGCGAAGTATTTTTAACTAAAAAAGTGCAAACATAAATAAATTTACTTCTCAATATGCATACGAATCAATTACATTGGTTTACTATAAACATTACAAGTTGGTCATCCTTATTATTTTTCTAGCTTAAAAATCAAGAGGTGAGCGTAATATTCCAAGTATCTTGCATAGAATAAGATTTATGAATGTAAACACTAGTTACGACATGACATACGTGGTTGAAAACAACTATAAAATTATAGTAACTTAGCGTGCGTTGTATATGTATTTTTCTTATGAGGAAGATAAAGATAGAGGGAAATGGGCTATAGACAAGGTCCTTCAAATGTCTGGGAAATATTGAACGACCAAAATCCATATCAAGTTGTGGATATTGAATGACATGCATATATAATATAACATCCCAAAATGCAACCTAAACATGTATATTTGATATAATATCCAATCTAACATACTTAATGAAATCTAAACATCCAAAACTGTAAATAATATAAGTTCAGGATCGGTAACCAATTGTCGAAACTCAGTTAGGAAAAAAAGTTTACTAGAATTTTGCTAAAATATTTCATAGGCTGGATTTTTTGCTAAAAACAGTAAAAAAGAATATTGCATAACTATATTGTTTTGCGGCAAGCTATATAGAAAGATATATTAGTTATGTTAGGGATATATTGCTCAAATTTTGCCAAAAAACCATAAAGGATATTGAGACCATTTCCTTTTGTGGCAAGCCATACAAGAAAATATATCGGTTGATATATCAGCTATATCAGGGATATTTAAAACAATGACTATTTTCACATATAGATGAAAGTAATTGGGAAGGTTGAGCAAAGTTATTCAATAGTGAAATTAGTTGGGAAGGTTGAGCAAAGTTATTCAACAATGTCTCTAGCGCTCAAGAAAAAACTGCCTCTAGGTTTTAGAGGACTCCATTCTTTGTATTATCATGCATTCAGTGAATCACAATGTAGAAAACTGTTATTCATATAGTTCATTCTAATTTGATTGGAGAGGATAAAATGGTCTAAATGTCAGATTATAAAATTTATTGGATGGAAAATTCCACACTGGATGGTGGATGTAGGGAATATACTAAGGAAATCCAATAAACATCAGAGTTTCATGTCGAATATTATATGTGATTATGTGCATATCAATGAAATCTAAAATATAAAAATATCGAAACATGTAATTATGACATACCTAGGAGATAAAGAGATTGAGGGCGATAAAACAAATAGGAAGGGTGGAGGAGAGAGAGAGGGTGGGCATGGTGATTTTGACACGTAGTCAAAAGATATGAAATAACAGGTAGTTGAAGTGGAGAGATGGTTTGGTTGTTTCAATATGTAGGAGGGAGGGACAGGGGAGGGAGAGAGATAGCTTGGTTGTTTCCACGTCCAGTCAAAAGTGATGACTTAGCAGGCATTTGAAGTGGAGGGAGGGCTTGCTGGTTTCAGTATATAGTCGAGAGCGATGAAGTAACATGCAGTTGAGGGTGAATAGACTCTCAACTCGAGAAATGGAGGGAGAAGCATTGAGGTGTAATTGAGCTCTAATTCTTATTTTGAGATTTATATTGCGAGTTTCATCTTCGGGGATCTCAATCGGTTCCTAACTCCAATTCAATCTTTCAAAAAAATGTCAAACTTGAATCCATATATGGAACTATTTCTGTCAATTTTTTGTGCAGAATAATATCTAATATATCAAAAAAATCGCAAATGATGTCCTATATTTTAAAGAAATCATGATATATTGCAACAATTTCCCAACAACGATAAAAAATTCATAAGAGCTTTCCATACGCAGCCAATCTTTAAAATGTTGATATATATGTTAATTTATTTTCAAATTTTTCTTAAAGTTGAATTACATAATTTATTACTGTTTTCAATCTATTTATTGAAATTGAGGAGTTTTAATCAAGAATACTCAAGAGTTTAAGGCTTCCGTTTTCGTTTGATAGTAACTTGATATTTACCTTAAATCACAAATGTTCGTAGAAATACAGGATATATACTCATTTTAGAGAAAATTGTATATGTTGTAACTAGATGTTCTAAACTAGTGAACTTGGAGTAACTTATTAGTGTGGTTTCATCTTTCTTATGCATGGTAATCTTCTTACTAGTGAAAATCTAAAGTTTTTATATAAATCGAATCACAATTCTAGTTTATAAATCAAATCAAACTTAGATCTATGTTTTATTGATGAAATTTGAAAAGATTTTTGAGATGTTCCATGCCTTCTTTATTGGGAAAAGGCTTAATTGATGTTGAATTATCTACCGATTTGCTAGGTCCTAGTTTTCTTTCCCTTGAGTTTATCATGCGTGCTAGCAAAATTTTAGCCAAAATCTCTTGCCTAAATGTAAAGGACTTCGCTGCATTGTGGTGTCATTCACGTACCTGGATGTGTGATGTAGGACGCATGCTGTAGGTTATTATTCATTTTTAGTAATAAAATCTGAGTCAGTTTGGAGTAAGAAATCAGTTTGGTTTTAATTCAAAATTTGATCAATTTCTTTTCTCAATCATAGGGAGCCTTTTGAAATAGTATTTGATACTTTCTATTTTTAGAAAGTTGTGCCCTATCAATAGTAGAGTGGGCTATGTTTATTTGTTTATGAAGGATTGTAGCCTCATGGGTATTAGTGCTTTTGATTAATAAAATCCCTCTCTTTATGTTATTTTGTGGATCCGAGGTTGTCTCTATGTGAATTTGAAGATTGTTCTTCGTGGATTCATAGAGCTCCCCATGATGGATTCTAGGATTTTGCTTCCGAACGGTGTCTGTGTGGTTATAAACTACTACTTTAATCTTACAAATCTGTTTGATTTTTATGACGTATTGCTTTCGAAGTTAGAGTGGCATTTGTTTCAAATTAGTATATCTTTTATTTGTATAAAGTTTGTCGCAAGCAAATATTCCTTCATAGAATGTAAAAGAAGCATTGCCTATTGCTAATTCATGGTTCTTTGTGAATTAAATTCACTAGTAAACTATTATCTTGACGTATTCCTTTCGATTTGCTATCGCACAATGACATAAAGGGCATGTCATAGTTGAGCTGGTGCCATTATTGCTCTACTTTCGTTGTTAGCTTAATTCAGCTTCTTTTTTCCTTTGCTTATACATTGCTAACAGAGAATCAAAGATCTGATGCTGTGAGAACTGACTGTGTTGTTCGGGGAGACAATCAGCAAATATTCTGGAAATTGAGTGGCTACAACAATCGTTCAAACATTATACTTCAAGGTTTTATCATAGTCCCATAGTCTTCCTTCTCATCACATCGCAATGTAAATAATGTTCATTTGTTCTTTGTGCAGTAGTTGCGAATTGGGACTCTGTTACCCAGGAAGATAAGTGGTTCTTCTATAACGAAGAGGAAGACAAAGTAGTAGAGAAGTATATTTCTTCACTAAGGTTAACACAATCATCCCAATTGCAAGTGCTTTTTCAATACCTACTTTTAATTCATTAGTTAGAATTGTTATTAGTAATCACTTTTTTTAAATAACAAAAGTGCAGCTTATTTTAATTGTACATGATGTATGAATGTTTATAACTACATTTGCTCATCATCGAGAAAGCATTGCCAACTTAAATGTTACCATTACAGTGCAGGGTGGCTTTTCCAATTACCACCACTCTGTCCATCTTGACCCCACAAAACTTGTTACGCCAATCAATGATTTAGTTCACGGTGATGATAGGTGATACTTAATCTGATTCTTTTATTTTGTTACCCTATTAAACATTAGTTTTAACAATTCGTGGTGCTTATTCTGAAAAGTTCCTTCACCCCGCCTAAGTTGTGTGGAGTTCTTAGCGAAGAAAAGCTTCAGAAGAGAGGTTTTCTTTACCCATTATTTTCTTTTTGACATGGCTTTGAATGAGGTAAATACTGACTACGACACGAAAGATGGTAGGACTGTGACCTAGGCTAAGTTATGCTTCTTTTTACCAATACCTCGATCTTGTTAAGAATGTAGTTTATATTTGGAGTCCAGTGATTGAGGCCTGTGAAGGACTCATTTCTTGTAGCATAGTGTTTCTGATGCCTAAGATATGTCTTAAATAATTTTAATAATTTTTCATGAGCTTATAGTTCTGTATCTTTTCCAATGCTTGCCTACTGGAATTATTTTTACCAGTTATTTAATTTCTGCCTGTGGGATCATGAACAAATTTACTGTTTTGTTCAGGAATAGCGCAACCGTCAGGCACAGATCAGATGATGTTGAAGAAGGGATGAAATCTGACTCGCATGACAGTCGAGGATCTAGAGATTGCTTACCTCAAAGTATAATATGAGTCTCAACTCTTGTTTTCTTGATCAGAAGAAATGGCTTGAAACTACATTCAATTTTGTTGTCATTATGATTTTGATATGTCATTTGTAGAGGATTTACTCATGGAAGAAAATGATAGAGCTTGCAACAACATTTTTGGAATGATTGGAAACTCTCCCCAGGATCCGAGAGGGGAGATGTGAGCTGAAAAGGAAATGCTTCTAAGATATGACAGAGGACTAGAGACGTTCTAGAAGGTGGATCCTAGAGTGCTGTATTGTTCTTTTAGTCTCAACTATGACAAGCAGTGAAATGTGAGGTCAAGAAAGTGAAATTGCTGGTAACATACTTTTAATAATTCAAATTGTACATGAAGTTTTTTCAAATCTAATCTAATCTATAATTTGATTTCTTTCATGTTCGGGAGAATGTAGATGAGCAGGCTTCCATCGCTATATGAGAGTCTCGGGTGAGGTAAGAAATTCATCCTCTTATATCCTATCGATTGAATATAGGTCCAAGCACTGACAAGTTATAATCATCCTTCCATACACAATATCTGTCTTAACAGCTGAATGGTATGGTTTGAGGTTATCTGGATTGCATGCAAAGGTCGACAACCTTGTGGATGACATTCATAAACATACCAGATGAGGATGTTGACCTTCATCAGTGATTTGGTTGATCCTCTTCATGCAGATCAGATGGGTATTATGCTGCAGAGTTACATGACACAAGTCGGAGCTGTTCTGGCATGGGATCTTGTGGTGCACAGGTAATATATGCACACATGCACATACATGCACACATACTTTTAATAATTCAAATTGTGAGGTCAAGAATGTGAACAAGTGGTGCACAGGTAATATATGCGCATTTGCCCATGCATGCGCAATTTTTGTATGGCACATGCATTGTACATATTGACAAATACACACAACTTATCGGGCACACTCATGCAAGCATGTGCATACATCACATATCATATAACACATGCAAATAATAAGTATCATGCACATAGTACGTGCATGCACATATCATGTATGATTGGCTAATATACACATATTTACCAATATATTTCTGACATACAAAATATTTACTTCTTATGCTAGAGTTGGGGAAAGGATCAACGGTGTACAAACCGAGGTGGAATAATTTGAATGCGAAGTTGAGTAGTGGGCATGTATTCTTTAACGTGTACTTAAACTGTGGATGTTCTTTATGTATGTTCATATCTGAATTTTGACTTGTTACATTGAGTTTGTTTTATTGACAACCGGGTACATATTTTGAATTGAATAAGTTGACATGTACACTGTGAATTCTGGATTTGCTGCATGTGGATATATTATAGGGTAATATTTTGACCTGTTGGCTAGTTCTTCCGATTTGTGAAGCCTTTATGGGGTGAATCGTAAATCAAAAATAAATAAAAAAGAAAATCTCTTCTATTTTTCATCCTGTAGGTTTTTGAAGAATTCTGTTAAAGCGCTCCACTTAATATTGTGGAGTGTGGAAATTTTTCATCCTTTTCTTTCATTTCAGTAAATCCAAACTACTATATTGGAGAATTATATGTTCACACTGACATCGCAAACAGAGAAATATTGAGATCAAGCGGAGAGAAGAAAGTCACATGCACAGACTGAACGAGATTCGGGGCAAGTCCTACTTTTTTGTTTGTCAATGAAATAAACTTTTGTTCATCACCAAATTTTGAAAATGTGGAGTACATCAAGATATCAGAATCATGTCTGATATGAAACTAAACCTGAAAGCAAATCACACTTAACAGTTTCTCAATTTTTCCTCTTACATGATCAGGAATATTTTCATTAAAAACTTTAGAAAATATAGAGAACTTCACATCTTTGAATAGCCGATCAGGAGAATGCATTTTTTGCTGAAATATCCTCAGGTTCCTCTCCTTCCATATCCAATACACAGTTGCCGAAAGTGCTATTCTTTTCATTTTCTTCATGAAACCATCCCCCTATTGCTATACCAGGTTATGCTTTGGTTCTAG